CACTGAGCAAGCTGGACACCAACAGAGGTTGAGTGACCGGGACCATAGGACCCGTCACCAGGGGTTACCTATAGGATAGTCTATAGGGTTCTTCAACCTCTGCTGGACATCCCACGCCAATTCTGAACACTCCCACACTTCGCACGATCTGTCCAACCGCCGAAGGTCGTCTTGCAAACATTGGCAAACCCTAACGGGCCTGTTTTGGGGCGCCATGGGCGGGGCGCCATCGGCGGAAGGGCCGCCGGCGAACTTCTTTGCACAGGGGCTGCCGGAAGCATTGGATTGGAGGACAGCAGTAGGTGGGATGGAATTGAATTGGAAGTGGCGGTAACGCTTGGCAACCACAAGCATAGCCAGTTTCTTCATTAGATTTTAGTACCCAGTGGCCTACTAAAAGGAATAAGCTACTGGTTGGAGTGTCCATTTCTTGTTGGGATGCTTGAGCTGAACAGAGAGACCCCACAGAGATCGGTTCTTCTCATCTCGCCCTGAGCAAATCCAAAAGTAGAGCGGATGGGCTCAAACAAAGACCCTGCAGAGCACATGGCATTCCCGTAGCTTTCGCTTCCTACATTCCAAACAATGAGGCACTATCCCGCTTGCTTTCCCTTGGAGAAGCCCGCATACGAGGGAGGAGCCCGCCATTAAAAGAAGTTCTGGCTGGCGTAGCTTCCTCAACGATATTTGGTCATTTTGGTATTGGCTACTTCTTTGATGTAGCTCGCACCTCACCAGTCCAAGGCTGGTAAACTGGGAAAATCACTTAGCTGGGCACCCGCCGCAGCCTGGATGAAGCCTGGCACTTGGCTGGGCTGTAGTCCCGATCAAATGTGTTCTCACGAATCAACACATGTTTTCTAGTAGGATGCACCTGCAACATGTTTTAAGTGATAGTTCTTAATTCTTCTGCGAGTGGGAGGTTTGACACTCGCTTGTGGTGTCCCTTCCCAATCCCTCCGAAGAAGCAGGTACAACCCTTGTCCCGCTCCAAACTTACAAACCATCCTGCAGATAGAAGCTGACCCGTTTCCGAAGGAATATGAACCCGTATTTGTTGGCCATTTTGGCATATGTTACAATCAGCTCTTCCAAGTATTCCCTTCCCTACTCCAGCACCAATCATCAACTGCAAGATGATACTTGTCATCACATCTACTCATACAGTTTCTTCCAGTCTAATCTTCCAGT